GGAAACATTGCGCTAATATCTCGTCTTCAGTCAACTTCTTCTCCAATACATTACTGAAGGCCTCGGCATCGGCTGTGATCTCATCCTTACCCTCATTCACATGATGTGCTTCATTGGCATCACTGGCCTCTCGGATATCTCCTTCAGATCTCTCGACATCTATTAATAACTGAAGAAAATCGTTGTGTATTTCCTTATTATCTCTCCTTTTCTTTATTATACTTCGCGTGAAATCAATGAAAAAGTCTGCATCAGAATTGCCGGCATTTACAATACGCCGGAATATACTATTACTGACAATAAATTTGGGCAAAAGCAATGATAACATCCCTTTCCAAACGGGAATATTGAACAGATTGTTGGCTTTAGTTGTGAACGGGTTGTTAGGATCGGCGTATGTATTGGTTTTGGTAGCGAAGGCACAGCTGGCGATCACATCCATAGTGTAGGCGCCCATCAGTTGCTTCAACTCGACTTCATTCATACCATTCGACACATCCTTATCTAAGGTATTCATAAAGTCTTCGCAGCAATGGTTGATAAGACCATACATTTTCTTCATCTTTCCGGACGTGAAGGTAGGGCTGGCTATCGCCCGGACCCGCTTCCAGACATCATCTCTGGCTCTGAACATGATTTTCGAGAAGATTTTGTGATTACCCGCAGCTGTCCGTCGGTTACGAAATGAATGGAAATCTTTGACCAGAATTTGTTTGACGAGCTCCGGGTCTGCCACTGTTAGGCCGGGCTTTTCAAACGTGAACACTCTGTCCATTAGATTACACTTATGTGTCAATTGACTAGTAATTAAGACATTGAATTATAATACATACCCAAAAAGTCGGCCGTATTTCTTATACCACTCCATCTCCACAAATGGTCGCGCTTTTAGGACAGGACTCAAGAAGTTTCCGAATATAGGTATAGGTTTTGGGCCTGAAATCTGGCGGTTCTTCCAATAGCTTAACGCACTCTTCCACGTACTGAATGAATCGGGTATTCATTATTAAATTTACATGTCTTAAATATAGTAAAATAAGCTAGTAATTTTCTTACAAGTGGTAATACGCCAACACTGCCACAATGGCTCCGATGATATACCACTCATACATCTGGAAAATGGGTCCTAACACTGACTCCAATACTAATGTTATAATAAAATATTATTTAATATAATATAACTTTTTAATGATAATTTATAATTTAATGTTTGTATTACTCCAATAGTGAATTTTATAAATATGGATGTTTGTAATCTCTTTTTATATACAGTACCTTGCACCCAAGTATAACTTTAGTTCTTAAGTGTACTGTAGTGAATCAGATTATATTTAATAGCCATCTATTATCAATTTGTTCATTGCTAAACATAAAGTACTTTGTACAATTGAAAACAATGTTTATTTGCTACGGTATTTATAAATGAATTGTGGGCTATTTATAATTTTATCTAATATATATAGTAATTTATAATTTATAGTATTTAATATTTACAGTTATACTGTATAAATTATATTATATTAATTTAATAAACCTATCGCATTAATTATTTAATAATTATAATTATTATTTATTCTGTCTGAATTATATCCTTGTGCTTTTTGAAATTAAAATTAATTTTAAAATGATAGATATATTAATAAAACTTTCAAACAAAAGTACGTATACCACTATAGTATACAGTCCTACATAATACTAACATTTTTATTATTAATTGCAAGGATTGATAAAACGATATATAATACAATTACAACATGGTATTTTAAAAAGTCAATGGTATATTTAATAAATTTATTGGTGGCATATGTTGAAGATTTTAATAAATTTTTATTTAATAAATAGATAGTAATCTAGATGAAATTACAAATTAAGTTAACTAACTTTACATTAAAAGTTTCATTTTATAAAGCATACAACTATTATAAGTTGTATAAATAAAATTATTAAAATGATAAAAATCAACAACAAATTTTTAATAATATACCTATGCCAATTAAAATCTAATATATTATATATTATTTCTAATAATGTATTAAATTACATGTTATTAATCAAATATGATACAAAACAAGTTAACATAAATAAAATTCTTATATGAAATTCAATAGAAATTCTGTATTTAAATAAATATATATTTATTTGCAATACAATAACCTTTACATAACAGTTAATGTCTTTATTTGCTAATTAATCTTTAAGTGTTTACCTAATTATATACAGAATTTGATAACATTTTTATATGATAAGTATAAATCATATAAAAATTCATTATAGCATTGCTGTACTTTAAAATAACTTGAATTACATTAATTATTAAGACATCAATTGATATCTTATTAAGTATTTACACCAAAACGGTCTATCGTTTATGAATGCCTACCACAAGCCGTTTAGCCTGTAATAGGTTGCGGCCCTTATTGAAGATCAGCGGGACGTCAGTGTTGGCCACTCTGGAGAACCGGAAGTGCTGTGAGATCTTAGCTAAGGCTAGCTTTGCCTCCAATAATGCAAATCTCATTCCAATGCAATTTCGTGGACCCGAACCGAAAGGGATATAAGTATACGGTTTGATGTTTTCCC